CCAGGAAGTCTTCCCTGACTACAAGTCCTTGCTAGCTGCCTCCTCAGTCTTACAGCACTAACAGCCTATGGCCATTTGGCACTCAGGTGTACTATGCAGATTCTTCAGATGTCCCCGAACATATGCGGCCAGCTCTCCTCTGTATATCCTGAAGGGCCTGAACCATCCACCTACCCAGTCATCCATCCAGGCGGCAAATGTTTACTGAGCACCTTCTAGTGCCAGACTCTGCCAGGCCCTGGGGATAGAGGAGCAAGAAGCCTCCATCAGTGTGGCCACTGCTAGGGGAATAGAAGCCCAGGGTGCTGCAGGAACACCCCATACAGTCTGGGGGTGACCAGGGAAGGCTTCTTGGAGGTGGCATTTCATCTGGGACCCAGTGCTAGCCTAGGAAAGAGGATGGAGCTAACCCAAGCAGGAAGGGGGCAGGAGGTATGTTTCAGACGGGAGATCTAGCTATGCAAAGCCCCGGAGGGAGGTGTATGTGTGTGAGAGAGAGAGAGCACATGAAAAGGAACGAGAGAGAGAGAGAGAGCGAAAGGGAGTGAGGCGGAGAGACAGAGAGTGTGTGTGTGTGAGCAGGCACCGGATTAGCAGGAGGAAGCAGAGGTCACTGTGAGACGGGTTTGGGCTGGAGGATCAGCAGCAGCCTCAGCAGCCAGATGGAGGGTCCCAGCCACCGCATCTGGGAGTTGGGACCGTCTGCTAAGTGCAGCTAGGTGGGTGAGCTCCACTTCTGGTCCGTGCCCTGGTTAGATCACCAGGAGACAAGGAGGCAGTGTCTTACCTGCCCTGTCCATTTGTCCATTTGTCCGTCTGTCCACAGCTACAGGACCCTGGCCACAGAGCACGAAGCGCTGATGCAGAAGTACCTGCATCTGCTGCAGATCGTGGAAACGGAGAAGACTGTGGCCAAGCAGCTACGGCAGCAGATCGAGGACGGGGAGATCGAGATCGAGCGGCTGAAGGCAGAGGTGATTGTGGCTGGGGGCGCGGAGGAAGCTGGCCAGGGGCCCAGGCCCCAGACCCAACACCTTAAACCCCAGGATTGGGGGCACATGGCAGACAGGAGGACCAGCTCCTAACCACAGCCTCCAAACTTAAAATGTGGTGACACTGGCAGAGTGGGAAGGTCCCATGGTCAGACTGGGGTCAAATCCCACCTCTGCCATTTAGCAACTGCAACCTGGAGTGGGGAGTCTGAGACCCTGGAGGATCAGGGTTGCTGGTAGGTCACTGGAATGTAGGCTCCAGGTCAGCTCCAAGGCAGCCCTCCCCTGTGCCTGTCGTGATGAGCATTCCTACAGGGGCTCACCAGGCGGCAGCAGTCTGGAGGCCACGCTTGGTGAGGTTAAGCCTTCCAGAGCCTGGCTACTCAAAGTGTGGTCCATGAAGCAGCAGCATCAGTTTTACCGGGAGCTTGTTAGAAATGCAGAATCCCAACCCCACCCCAGACCTCCTGAATGTGCACTTTAACAACATCCCAAGTGATTCCATTTACATAAGCTTAGGAAGCGCTGGCTCTCAGTCCCTTAGGTGACCTCACTAACTGCCCACTGCACTGCAGAATGATCTGGTCACTTCTCACCTCCTCACCTTACCAGCATGCTCAGAACCATCTGGCCACATCACACAAGGACTATGGACTCTGAACTGAGGAGAGGAAATGAAAACAGACTCGTGGTACCAGTTGGCTACATGATTTGCAGGTCCCCATGCAGGGTGAGAATGCAAGGCCCAGGTCGGGGTGTGGGAAGTCAGTCTCCCCTCCCACAGCCCACCACCCCAACCCGTGTGGACAGACAGCACCCAACCCCAGCCTTCCACCTCCCTAACCCCCCTGCCAGGATGCACTCAGTACCTGGATTGGGGTGCACAAGACATCCCAGCTGAGTCACCCACCTACTGCACCTTGGTGCTGCCAGCCTGGGGCAGGGGTGCTGTCACCTTGCCCTTCCCCGAGACACCATGTCATACCCACTGAATCCCAACCTGCACCTACAGCAAGGCCCCTACTGAGGGTGGAGGCTGATGGTGGAACATGAGCCTCCCCAGCTGACTCAACCCAGTTGCTGCCCCAGGCAGAGGGAAGCAGAGGTCTTGGGGCCCAGGGTGCCAAGGTGTGGGGAACCAGCAGCCAAGAACCCACCCAGGGTGATGAGGAAGTAGCAGGGGGCGGGAATAAATGAGCTCAGGCCCCAAGTCCCGAGTGTGTCCCATGGTCCCATCAGACTGCACTTACAAACCACAATTCAAAAGGAAAATCTTTAGGAATTACAAGATGTTGACCACAGAACAAGAAGCCCCAAGTGCAGAGCCTTCTGAGCATGGGAGCCCATCATGCACCAGTGAAGGCAGCTTTGCCCAGAATGTTCAAAGACCTAAAGCCACCAATGCTACCTTGTCTCGCAGCAGCAAAGCTCTGAACTAAGAGTAACATGAACTCGCAACTTCAGGTTCATCTAAATTCCCAGGTTCAACACACCTCCTCTAGCCTGGTGAAATGCTTCCTTAGTCAGTCCCTACAACCATCCCAATAGAATCAATATCCTGTGTTTCCCACGAGGAACCAGGTTCAGAGAGCCCAGGGCACCTGCCCAAGCTCACTCAGCTGGGGAATGGTAGGGTGGACTGGGACCCAGGTCTCCTGTCTGCTTGCCAGTCTTTACTCATAGCCTCTTCCCACAAGACTACTGGAGCCCGGCTCAGGGCTGTCCCCTCTCCAACATACTAGTTCATTCTGGGATCAATCGCACTCAAGAGACAACCCCTGGGATCTACCCTGGCCCAACACAGATCCCTGAGTCCATGCTGAGCCCCCGTATGGGATCACGGAAGGAGTCTGGCCCCAGTACCAGATAATTAGGGCGATCAAGGATTTCCAGGTGTCATTCATTCATCTATTCACTCACAAGACAAGATCACCAACCCATGACCTCCTGCTCTTCCCTGAGCTCCTCCTCTCCTGTCACTCCTGGCACCAGCCCGTGCTCCACAGCCATGCACCTTCCCACCTCCCAGCCTTCGCACATGCTGCGCTTCTGTTTGGAATGGCCCTCTCATCCCCATGCTTCCCACATGGTGAAACCCTGCCAGGCTCAAACTCCTTCTCCTTGGGGACTCCTGCTCAGAGCATGCTCCCTGCTGAGTGCTCCCCTGTGTGCTCCTATAGCTTTCCAACACATGGCACACAACATTAGAGCCTGCTCCATATGTGTCTGTCGTCTCACCTGATCTGGTGGCAACTCCTTGAAGGCAGGACCATGTCCTTTATCACTCTTTCCCTTTGGCCTGGCACATAGTAGTTGCTCAATAAGGCCTTGGTGAATGGCCATCAGGCTCTGTGGTATTAGGGATATGGAAGTTTGTACCTGTCAGGTCTCATTGTAGTAGAGCATAACAGAGCTTGCAGTGTGAACCCAAGTCATTTTACAGCCCTGGCGAGTGTGGGTTCACGTTGCACATATGGCCTTGCAAGATTGCAGGGATTTGTAGGCCAGAGAAGGGGGTATAGTTGCAAAGGGCAGAGCCCACTGTGGTTCTGAGGAGCAGAAAGCAGGTCAGTCAGAAGCAAGCATGTGTGTGCGTGTGTGTGTGTGTGTGCGTGTGTGTGTGTGTGCATGTGTCTCTAAGTGGCAGCAGAGGCC